TGTGTGTGTGGTCTATATATATATATATATATAGATATATATATACCTTAATAGGATATTCTATTGTATATTGGAACATGTTTTTCTGTTTTTTAATGTATTATATTAGCTTTTTTATTAGTTGTGTATGTATTTTTTTCTTTCAGTGTTTTGTTGTATTGCTAGTGTCCTTATGTATAAGAGGTTTCCTTTGTTTAAGCGCAATTTTTTCAAAAGTATCAAAAATAACCGGGGAAAATACGCAATAGATGCGGAATGGTGTAAAAAGGCGAGAGCAGCTTTCAGATTTTAAACATCTTTTCTGGTCGCGGAGAAATAGATGAAAACGGTCGGCTATCTCCAGACTTTCCAGAAAATCAAAGGAAAGATTCGGAATGCTTTGATTTTAGCAAATATCAGAGTTATTTTAGTTCCAATGGTGTTAATCAATTTCAATGCATAATTAGTGAGAATAAACATGTTTCTAGTACGTCTTCAACCTCAATGTCCAAATCTTGTAAAGAAACACTATCTTCAGCACGCATGTCCATTCTCTTCTTCCTCTTGCACTCGGTTCTTTGCTTCTTCATGATTTCTCCGCTGAAGCAAAGCATCTTCCTTCTGCAGTAAATCATGATTGTTGATCAAGAGATTTTGCAAGCATACTTTTAGCAACTGTGGAAACCACTGTATTAGCCAAAAGACAAAGTTGAATAACGTTTTTCTCCAACTTATTCTTATCATCCATTCGTTTTGCATCTTCAAGCAATCCCTGCAACATTTGTGGATCAGATGGACACACACTAACTTTGAAACTTCATTACGCACAAGAAGACGCACTTGTAAAGCTCTCAATCGCGTTCTCCCAGGCTCAACTAGTTTTTCTTCTTTGATACCATTCTTTGGAAATCATTGAGTGAAATCTGCTCAATGTTCAAGATCGCAAAAAGTTTCTTTAATTTGTCAAGATTGGTCAGTGCACTATCGCAAAAACCTATTCCATCATTACAGGACGATTCATCACCTGAGCTGCCATCTAATCCATCAACGAACCTCTCTAAATTAGCTTCCCTAAGCGCTGATCGTCTGATCATCCGTTTCTTTTTTTACTGGCTTTTGGATCTTTTGCACTACTCCACATCTACTTTGGGAGATAACATGGCAATGTTTTGCTGTACATATAGTTGGAGTATCACAATGTAAACACATTTCACAGCTTTTGCATCTTCCTTTCTTCTTGTATTTATGTTCTTCACATGGTCCTGGCCTTTTCGTAACTTCGGTTATAATTGCGCCGCGCAAAAATAGAAAACTGATTTTGAATTTTGCTGAATTTTGTACATACGGCAGTGTTATCTAGTTTTATGGTATTTTTCCGCGCAAAAAATTATTTAAATTTTTTCAGGCAAAAAAACTAATTTTAGGTTGGTTTTTGACTGACCAGGATCTTAAAAGACTGTTTTAGTGTGAAGACGTTTTCTGCTCTTCTTTTTTGTTTCATCATTAAGGATTTAGTCAGGTTTTTATTATGATAATTAAAGGAATTTATTTTTTGTACTTATTCTTAGTATATTAGAATACTAAAGGGGTTAGGTTACCTTTGTTGAAAGGTTTTATTTTGTGTTGTACTTTTTATTTTATTCTATGTGTGTGGTATGTTAGACTATCCCTTCTAACGAGGATGGATATCTTTATTAAAGTTCTTTCCATTTATCATTTACTTAAAGGGTTTGGTCAAGTTTTTCTTTGTAATGTATTTCATTTAAAATGGAATTATATGTTTTTATTAGATACACCTTCTAAATGGGATAGAATATATTTGTTAAAGTTCTCAAATATGTCAAGTCTATATTAAAGAATTTTGTGCTCAGGTAAGTATGTACTCGTATTTAGCTTGTTCTTTATTAACAGATTTGGTGTTTATTGGTATTTCCATCTATTTATATGTCAACGGGTCCTTTTATGCATTTAATCTATGTCAAAGGTTATTTTATATTGTATTCGATATTAAAAGGTATTTATGATTATATATTTGTGTTATGTAGTACTGAATTGTAAGGTCTATTTTATTTGTTCTTCGTGTAATGTTTCATTTTAATGATAACATGTTTCCAAGGATTTTCTTCCCATCCTTCCAGTGGCTCAGTGGTAAGTCTGTTGACTAATAACGCTTTCTATTTCATCAATAAAAAGACAATTGATTCGGGCAGTGTTAGCAGTGAGTGACTTAACAATATGTTTATGGCTTGTAGTGCAATAACTTGGGTTTGATCCCTGTGATGGGCATAGAAAGCCAACTGTGCAACCTTTTCTACTTACAAACTACAAACAAATAAACGGTTTTCTTTTAATTATTTGCCCCCCCCCCCAGTAGCACGGTGGTATGTCTGCGGACTTACAATGCTAGAAACCAGGTTTCGATACCCGTGGTGGGCAGATCATAGATAGCCTATTGTGTAGATTTGCGCTTAACTTCAATCAAACCAGACCGAATTTTTAACTATTTCATTATTCATTGCACTTCTATTTTAGTTAAAATGTTTTATTGAAATGGATTATGTTGAATTAGAATTAGTCTTAAATCCTTTTTAACTGTGCGTTTTTTGTTAAAGAGTTAAGTCGTCCATGTGTCGTATACATCTTTTTAATAACAAACGAAAGTTAACTTTGCTTCTTGATCAGATCCCGAGCTTAAAGCTGATTGAGTTTTTAATTAATTTTAATTGTTGGCTTGAGATCAAGTCTGAAAAAGAGATAGGGAAAGTGTGGTATGTGATTATATCATGTATTCTCTTCATCATGTACTTTTTCATCATCTTTAGTGATATAGAAGTTATTAAATTTGCATTTAATTTGCACGAATGCAGTTTTTAACATGAAAACGCTAGTCCAAAACCATTGAAATTCTTCTGTTAAAAAGTGGTCATGTTCCCTTTGTCTCGCTCTCCATTTTTGTTATCAACTTTTGTTTCCCCTACCTGTGAAAATGTAGAGGAGTCCTTTCATTTGTGGAGTAGACGACATTAAAATGTCCAAGATGGTGAATGTTAAGAGAGCGTGATAGGTCACATGGTGACGCCATCAGGATAAAGAAACGGGTGTTTTTTTGCCAGCATGAAGCCTAGTTTCCGGGGTCTTTCCTACTTGGCTTTCATTGTGGCTGGTTCTCCAGAGGTTCAACTCGAGGGAAGAAAAGCTGAAGACCTAGTCACAGATCTAGTAGAGGCGATCATCCACTTGTCTACGCTGATATGAACACTTGTTTTTGTTTTTTTGTGATGGTAATAAAGATTGTTTCACTCTCCTTAAAACGTGTCCAATCTGTTTATTTCTCATACAGCTTGAAAGCTTAATTGAATTTTCAGATTCAGATAACTCAGCAAATTCCCTGTTTGATACCTATTAGTTCTATCCTGTACTTGTAGGGAAATCAGTTCATCTGAGAATGCCACATATCAAACTGTAACACTGGAGGGATCTGAAGTATGGTTAAATAGTTTATGATAGTACTGCTGATGACTAAAACCAGAAAGGTATTTAGTTGTAAAATGTTTTTTTTAATTTTGAAATTCTTTGTGATATCCATAGGAATCTCTGACTATGATTTACCTGATGCACTGTGGTACTTATTTCTCGGTATTTTAACAATTAATGATTTACTACTTTTTTTAGCGAAAAACTACACAATAGTTCACCTGTGATCTGTCTATTGCGAATAATCGAACCCCAGATTTTAACATTTTACAATGAATAGAATAAAAAAGATATGTTATTTTTGGTAATATTTCTCGCATTCAATTTGTATTTTTCTTCCGTAAGTTAACCTTATAGTATTTATCTTATAATTATGTAATTTAAACTTTCGAAAGTTTGGTATAATTCGCTTAGTTTTAAATTCATTCAACAATTGTAAATTTAACTATTGTTTATACATATATATCTTTCAAAATATTCTAAATTAACTTAAAGTGCCATTTTTTTACCTTTTGCTAATACATATTGAAACACGTTAAACTATGTTTAAGAAACTTCAGGAAAAGAAAAGTCATAAGCATATACAAAATAGTAGGAAATTTTGAGAAAACATGTGATGATCTGGCACTTAATAAAACCAAGTTCGACTCCAAACATCAAAACAGGTCTACTGAAAAAAAGCAAATTTAGATTTTAAGAGGCCCGGCATGGCCAGGTGGTTAGGGCGCTCGATTCGCAATCTGAGGGGAGCGGGGTCGAATCTCC